ATAGATATTTAAACAGAGATTAAAGTTTTTAGTTGTTTTTATTTATTTAAAAATATTTGTTGCTAGGTATTTGAAACATTTAAAGTTTATTATAATATTTAATATATTTAATGTCATTATTAAATGCAATGTTTTCTGCAAAAATTAGTTCAATTAATAGTAAAATAAATTACTTTAATAGCAAAAATATCATAAAATATACTAGGTAACATAGGCTATCCGCYATGTCCATGTTTGCTAAAAAWTTTTTTTCGTTTACGAAGATTTTAAATCATTAAATTGAAATTTAATTCATCTATGCGTAACATTCAGTGTTCATTAGAATGGTACCCATGTTTAGAGTAATCCCCTGTATCTAAAAATTTTAAACTCATTTGAATTATACATTGTAGTAGGTATAATTCACAACTTGAGTCTGGATGTGTAATATAAACGGCATAATAAATTATAGATATGCAAATATTTATTGTTCATTTAACTTAAAGTTAAAAGTACCTAGGTACAGTATTTGTAGTGGTTATAATATGATAAGACACATTAAGTTCATTTTTAGTTTTATGGCTGTAAATTTATAGATACCAAGTAAAATTGACTATTTACAGAAAGTTAACTACTTATTTACCAAATACCAAATTCTCATGAAAAAATATAGAATGTTAATTTTATATGTAAAAAAATAATAACATTAAGACTAGGTAACGGTTTATTTTTAKTTTTGTGGTGAAACTAACATTAAGATGTATACCATATTTGAACCAGATTATTGGCTTAAAAAATAAATACGTTATGTAGTAGTACAATATRTATGAAAAATACCAACTACCTAACTAGGTGTAACTACAAATGTTTATAAGTATATATTTTATTTTCAGACAAGACTTCAAAGAGACAGTATTTTCTAATAATAACAGCAAAAAACATATGAATTCTCTTAATTCTACTGTGCTTATGAAGTTAGTAAATTTTAAATGAAAATAAAAATAATTATGTACTTTAATGTAACATTGTTTATTCCAGCAAAGTTCCTAAGCTGAGTGAATATTTTAATAGTCATAATCAAAGAGACAAATCTTCTACTTTTGGCCAAAGTATACCACCGTCCTCAGTAAGGTATGTAAACTTGAGAGGATGTCAGCGCACTATTTATTTTCTTTCTCTGGCCCATGTATAACATAGACAAAACGCATTTACGCAGATTTTTCTATGTTTTTAAGTAATTTTAGAGTAAAACCTCCCATTTCAAAAAAGATAGAGAATAATATTTTTGTGGGAATGACATATCGATTTTATATTTTATTGATATTTGACTTAGTATTCGACTTTCACAAAAAAATGTTGTACATTTCAATGATATTTAAATTATTTAGTGACAATATTTAGACAAATCGATGTGTCAATCCCTCAAAAGTATTATTCTCTAACTTTTTTGTAAAGGGAGATTTTACTTTAAAATTACTTAAAGACATAGAACAAATGATTCTGCGTAAAAGCGTTTTGTCTATGTTACGAGTGAGCCAGAAAGAGAAAACAAATAGTGCGCTGACATCTTCTTAATATAATGCCAAGTGAGATAGACAATTAGAAAGTATAATTTTTATTTTCAGAAAAAATGTTGGTTCAAAGGATAACAGTGTGGAATCAAATCCTGTTGGTTCACTACAAGAATTATGCATRGTCCATAATTATCCATTTCCCATTTACACTTTTTCTAATGAAAACTTGGAAAACCCCAATGCAAAGTTTACAGCGATGTGTTTCATATCTATTTACGAATCCTTAGGTAGATATTTTATACAAAATGATATTTTTGTTAAATATTAAATAAATATTTTGAACAGGCACAGGTGTAACAAAGCAGGGAGCTAAAAGAGTAGCAGCTTATGAAATGTATAAGCAAATGGAAAAATTGATATCAAACGCTTCCTTTTGTTTTGTTGGCAATGAATGCGAATTTAAAAAGGAGACTTCTAACCATGCTTCTTATTTGTGTCATGAATCGATGACTATTTTGAAAACCTTTTTTGATGTAAAAAGTGCACCCAAAAAAACACATTTACTTAACATAGAGGTAATATACTGGATATACCTAGTTAATTTTATTTTATKCAACAATGCTAATAAACATTTTATTATTATTATTATTACTATTGTTTTTATCTAGAAAAATTCAAATGAATTCAAGTGGACAGCTTATGATACTTTCAAAAAAATTTTGGAAAAAGAATACCTCACTTTTGAATGTGCTGTGATTTCTAGAAATTATGGTATTAAATTTATTTAAATACAAACTTTTTATATTTTATTTTATTTTGTTTTGTTTTATTTTTTTAGATAAAAACAATAGTAATAATAATAATAATAAAATAATATGTACTTGTCTAAACATCACATCTTTCGGGGTTTTTTAGGGCATTAAAATCCCAGCCCTATTTATGACTAATACATGAATACATCTCTATATAATATAAATACACCAAAATTAATTAATTACATAACAATTACTTATCAGCTTTGACAATTCATTTTCCAGTTTAAATAAAGTAATAAGTATAAGTATTTATGTTAGTTATTAAGTTATATATATATATAACTAATTTTTTTTATTTGCTGTGTTATATTATTCAACCCTTTCAATGTTCTGGACATACTATTACGTCCAAAACATTTTCACGTTTCACCTATTCCAGATTTACTATTATGTACTGTTATTGTAGTTACCAGTAAATTATAAAAAATTACTGATAACTACAATTTTAGGAAACCCTGGCTCTTATTTTTTTTTACTAAAATAATTAGATGATATAGGAACAGAGCGGCCAAGTAGACTGTGGCGTAAGTTCTAACTCGCACATATGTTAGCTAGCGAAAAAATCTAATTTAGTAACTATAACTGATGATGGAATGAAAAACAAAAATTTATATTTGAAATTATCTKACAAATATGTTAATGTTGATTGAATTTTGATTGATCCAGCAGATTCTGTGAGTATTTTGAATAATTTTAAGTATTTGGAATGATTTTATTACTCTTATATAGAGTATCTATTGTGCTAAAGATATTTTAAATATATAATTTAGAATATTTTTTATAGAAAATTCAATTTTTTATTTATTTTTATATTTCATTATTACAATAAATTATACCTATTACGCAAATATAATATACTATTTGAATATTAGCTGTTATTTCAAATATTCCACAGCAGACAAATAACCTGCTAAATATTTTTGATATCTAAAGCAAAATATTTTTAATTCTTCATTCAGAATACCATTTTTCATAAATATTCGGGTGATTATTCCAAACATTTTTTAAAGGATTTCTTCAAGTCTTGTAGTCAAAGTAAGTAAACAATATTCTACTAAAATTTTCAAATATAACTAATTTTCTTTTAATTAATATTGTCTATATACTAATTCCATCAGTAACAGTGACATAATTTGGATTTTGCTGCCCTGATACACATTTTCTATAATGCCATTTTTCCCCACCTTATTTCTTATAGTGCCGACTTTTTTCACCCATAAATCATTATGATATTTATAACAAAATATCATAAATCATTATGATATTTATAACAAAATATGTGATATGACTGATATGGTAATAGTATCAAAATATAGTATATAAAAATCTATCGAGTGCCCCAGAATGTTGTATAATATCAGAAGTTCTTTCAGTAGGTAGGTACTACCAAAAATAATCAAATCAAATTTTAAATTGTATTTTTGTTTTTATCTATTTATGAAATTTTTTGAAAATCAATACATCTTGAAATAGATATTGACAAAATCCACATAATGGTAGCTCTATACTAGCGGCCCCCATTACACGGCCGTATAACAAATTTTTTACGCGCTAAAATTAAATTGTTTAATTAAAATCCAAAGTTCAAGAAAAACATTTATGTCACATTTATTTGAACTTTTCATACAATACCTTTTCCTAATAAAATATCGTGAATCATTTAATTATTTTCCTCTAAATTCAATGAACTGCAGGTGCAAATTTTTATTATTTTTATTTTTATTCTCATTAAAAATATAAGCATGCAGTACTAWTATTAATTAGTTTTTTTAATCAATCAAATCAACTATTCAAGCCCTCTTATGTATCCCTCCATCTATTGTGCATTTGTGCTTATTGTAAAATTATTTTATACAGATTGAATAAATTAAAATAAATATGAAAAAAAGCAGGTAAGTCGTGGATGTCGCTCTGCTGTACAGTAGGTTACTGTAATGGATGGGATTAAATTTGAATGCAATGATAGGTATCATTGTATACGAAAAACTATTCTGAAMGGAGATGATTTGTCAGTCTAGCCAGTGGCGCCGATGTCCTAAAAATCTAGTAGGGCGAAAAATATTTCAAGAGGCCCAACATCTTAATATCGGAAAAAATGGCATACCGTGGAGAGAAAAATGGTCAATATGAAGCGGCCCTATCTTAAATTTTCAAAATATGTCGGGCCATGGCCCGACCTTAATATAGGGTTCGGCGCCMCTGAGTCTAGCTCTAGGATATATTATATTTAAATATTGTCATATATTCTATTTTGAAACAAATATTTTATTTTTCAACTTAGTGTCGAATTTTATAACCTAACATAAAATTACAAACAATATTATGAATTTTGAACTTCAAAATAATTCGCAAATATTCATGGTTTTGACGAATTTTTGTCAATATTTGAAATTCAAATGCTAATAAAAATTTAATTTGAACTTCCGGTGGACATGTTTTTTGTGATAAAGATTGAAAAACTTGTAAGGAATCTTATATTAAATTTTTAAATCTTAGTTTAAAAAAGAAAATGTTTTATTAATTTCTTCCTTGAAAAAATTTATGAATTTTTGTGATTTTTACGTATTTTGTCAAAATTCAAATTTTGAATGCTTATAAAAAAAATTGTAA